TATGATGTCCAAACGTGCCGTCTGGACCTGTTGAACGACAAAGGCGACACGGCGCTGCACATGGCGTCGCGCTGGGGCTACGAGGGCATCATCCAAGTGCTCCTGGAGAACGGCGCGAGCACCCACATCCTCAACAAGAGCAAGGAGTCGCCGCTGCAGTGCGCCCTGAACTCCAAGGTCAGCGACACTCGATTGTGCCAGAACATGCAGAGGACGCTTCCACACTGTGTGGGTGCTGGTTTGAGTCCATTACCCCACAGCTGTGGTAGCATGATGAGGATAGCAGCTCCTGATCTCACAGGAAAGAATAAGTGTCACGGCTCCCATCACAGCTAATCTGATCAGCTGCTGTCGATGGGTCGACTGATCCTCTTTCTCCAGTCTGTCCACTAAACCAGCTTCAGATACATTTTAAAATCAGATGTTTGTTTCATCTCTGCTCTGGGCAGTACCACAGGTCTGCATCAGGCCCCCAGGCTCTGGATTTTAGCCCTGCAGAGTCTCTGAGTCATGTTCACTCAGCCTTTCTTGCATGATAAAGGTTTTTCAAATAATGTAAACAGATGTTTCAGGTGCTCCCTGAAACATATTGGTTTCACGGTGCACATACTGTAAAATTAACGCGTTGTTCATGTCTTCCTGCAGATCCTCATGCAGCTGCAGTCCACTCAGAACGGCCGGAAGCGCTGCGGCAGCGGCGTCGACGTGAGTCTCATCTGCACTCGCGCTCGCATCGGACAGATCTCCAACATCACAGTGAATATTGTCAAAATCCACGTGACAAAAGTGTAATTAAATACAAAAAGGTTTCCTCGCGAGACAGAGCGGCTGCATGTTTAAGTAGTTCTAGTGAAACCTGGAACTACTTTTGAACTGAGCGAATGTTCGCAGTCCTGGCTCTGCGTCCTCTCTGGTTTCACCGCGCATGTTTGAAACGTTCACCCTGGTGGTCACATTTGACCTGCATCCACACACTAAAGCTAAACTGTGTTAGCATTGGGAGTATTTGGAGGCTGGTTGTGTTTTCAGCTCTTTTCTGTCTCTCAGTCTCCCAGCCGCTCGCCTCTGGCCTCAGACTGCAGCAGCCGCCGCTCCTCCGTCTCCAGCACCTCCTCCCTGGGCTCGGAGGTCAAACCAGAGGGAGAACGGGTCCGACACAGAGAGGTGAGCGCTGACCTCGCCGCACAGGAAACGCAACAACATTGCTCAGAACTTAGCTAGCACCAATAATCAATTAAACTTTATTTCTGAGAAAGCGTTCATGTAGGTCGGTGCAGCTCCGAGCACCAAAGAAGAAGAAAACGTTGGTGTCTGACGCCTCTGTGTTTGACTGACAGGTGGAGAAGCTGCTGCGAGCCGTGGCAGACGC